TCCTGTCGCTTGCTTCTCTTTCTGTATCAAGATTGCCATGACCTGCTCCACCAAAACATACTGACTGAGAGGTAATAATGAATCTGTCTGTATCACTCTTAAGGCTCTTCACTAGGCGAGTTCATCAAGTCAACTCTCTCCAGTAACACTTTGCCTCCACCGCTTTAGCCTTGGGTGATAAATAATTACTTGTTAGAGCCTTGCCTTTTCTTCTGTGGTGTTTGCTGTTGTCCCTTCACTCAGCACTGTGGCACTTCGACAGAGTCAATTATTAACAAGCTGCTTTTGGGTTGGTGTGTGTGCTCCATGTGTGTAGAATTCTGTGCTGTTCCTGTGTCGATAATACCACTGAAAAAAACTCTGTTGACGGATGATTATGCTTGAGTGTGTTCCTGTTTGTTATTTGAATGAACAGAAATGCAGGCTCATGTATGTGTGTGTGAGGAGCTCTAAGCCTGATGAGCCAATGTCTGTAATGAGTAGGAGGTAAACAGGGTTGAGTTCTCATTTATTCATAAGGCAAACAGAGACTGTGCAGTGAATGGGAATAAGTGTGTGATAATTTATTTAGAGCTATTTGTTTCAGGCCACACAGTTTAATTCCTAAAACAACCAGTGCTCTTTATTCAGCCTCCGTTCCCCTCTATCTCTGTCCCTTTTTCAAAATAACAGCCTCACCCTGCTGTCATTTTTAATGCTAATGTAAACATTGTATGAGGAAAAACTGCTGCAAAATGACCCATGAAACTAATTAAAGTGACAAAAGTAAAATAAAACAGAGTAAAATGAAGGACTTTTGTTATTCTTGTAGTCTATCACGTGCATATCACAATCCCCACAGCTTATGGGGATAATATGCTGCTGCATTTCTCCTGCTTAAAAAAGGGTAGTAACTCCCTGGAAAACCACAAAGGGTCACTTTTATATTTTTGTTTATGCATGTATTAAACTAACACGCTTTGAGGCTGTTAGTAAGTGATTTTGTTTAAAATTATGGACAGTCAGGCTACTCATGTCCCCCCGCTTCCTGTTAAGCTGATTTCCAGAATAAGGGCTCTTATGTTAACAAACATTTAAATAGGATTCACCAGAAACTGAATATGACCAAGATACTGCAGTATCCATGCAAATATACAGTGACTTTGTGACTAAGAGGCTCCAGTGCTGAATAGCAGGCCCGTCAGAGCCCTCCACTAACATCACAAACATCTCCTCCCTTGAGGATGTTTGGGCTCTAGCCCTCAGACGATCTGGCCGTCTTGTTTAAAGTGCTGTCACCCTGCTTTCCATCCAGGGGAAGGAAAATTTGAGCTTAACATGAACACATATTTAATCATGTGTCACGATCAATTATCACCCTTTGAAAAGCAGCAGCTCTTTTGAAGAATGTTCTCTTAAGGAGAGATGCGTGAAAACTTCAAAGTCAAAACACACAGGTCTGGAAAAAGTCCTGCTCACAGACAATCTTAATTGCAAATTTTGCGTGTTGTCTGTTGTACTCTGTGCACAGCAGTGACAGTTCAAAGAGCAGCCCCTTGTGTTATTACTAGCGTGCAATCCTCTGGTGAAATGCCTTTTCATCACAAACAAACAAATTGGTCATTTTCATGAGAATGTTTTAAAACTTAAAACCAACAATTTTGCTTCGGCATAGCTGAACCTTTCTTTCTGCATGTCTTTTGCAAGCCACACTCTCTCTGTTCTGTCACAATGCAATGTGGTTCAAAATAAATTATAGAAATGAAGACTCAGAATATACATGAGAAAGTCTTGGCATTTTCGATCTCCAGAGAAAATTCCCCCTTTTCAATCAGTATAAAGAATCAAACTGCTCTTTACCGGCTAATGTTGGTGCATGTAAATAGATATGATGTATGTTTACCTGCCTGCAGACTGAGTGTAAAACACAGGCAACTTGGTTACATCTGGTCACAGTGTACCAGATGAGATTTGAAATTCTGCTTTAAAGATCTCTCTTTTAGACTTGGAGTCCACAGCAGATAAAGCAAACTTGAAATTGAAAGTGTGCGTCAGTCACCCCCCTGGGCTGTTTTGATTAAGGCTGAGTGTGGAGCTTGCCTGGTGGAGATATTTGCTCAGACTAGGCCAAGGATTAAGGGCTTCTTTTCTGGGATCCAGAGAAAACAGAGGTCTGATCCCCTCCACGTCTCCCCGTGAGGCAGAGCTGGGTGGTGGCTGGATTCATGTGTGGAAACCAGTGGGTCAGTGTGTGTGTGTGTGTGTGTGTGTGTGAACGATTTTATATTTATATCATATGGTGTGAAGCCAAGTCTCTGTGTAATTGTGCGCGCTCTAGGGAAAAACGCGCATTTGATCCTGGGTGTGCACAAACGCTCTCACTGCTGCCTCTCTCTTCAAAACAGTCTCTGTGATCCCTTTACGTCATCATTTTACGTGGCCTTTATGAAGCTCATTGCACTTCATATGCAAGCACACACAAACATGCTCAGAACCTTGTTTTTCTAAAGTGCTGGCAGTTATCTTACAGCCCACCCATCTTGTGCCGCACTTCTGTGATGTCTGTGTGCAAAACCAGGCTCTTACATGTGTGATTGTGAGAGGGAATAGTGCCATAATGACTGAGTAAAAAAAAGGAAAATATAAAAAGAAAAAGAATGTGAATCTCTGTTCTGCGAAGCTTCCAGAATTGCCTGTCTGTCTGCAGCAGCTCACCTATGCTAAAAGCCCCATTGCATGCAACCAGTTGTCTTTTTGCAGCAGACATCAAGTTCTCCCCATGTCCATTCCACTGACTTTGAGCTGAATGCTCTTTGACAGGGGTGGTCTGCACGCTGCCCCACAGCAGATGTTGCCGTTCCATTTTCTCTTTCATAGTTAGCTGCCCTTCAGAGAATTGAGCGGGAGGATGAAAACTGTCTGTGTTTATTACCGTGAGGAAGTGACACTGAAGAGGCCCCCGCTGACCCACTCAGGAAGGAATAACAAGCAAACTGAACCAGTCAACAAATGGACATGAGCCTCCAATTGCCTGTGCTCCCACAACCCTGTGCAGGTTGTTAAAGCCACATCATTTCAGCACACTGACAATCAGCATGAAAAAGTTTAAAAAAACGTGTAGCCTTTCAGGGTCCCTCCTCTCATTGTGGGTCCTCTACTTAGTGCCTGTCAGTGCCGTTTTTCACATCAGTCAGCAGACAGCAGACAGCAGAAGGACAGACCCAAGACGTTGCTTTAGCACAAAAACAAAAAAAAACAAAAAAAAACACAAGAGGTGCAGCGGAGGAAAAAAGATAGAGATGGGGTAGAAATAAAGAGTAGAGACATCTTTATAGAAGCCAAGGCCCTTCAGACACAGGCCGTGGCTGATATCCTCTATATGCCCCGTTACTGTATATTAAAACTATGGTTATTCTCTTATGAGGCAGATTTCTGTTGCATATTGCAAAATATCTGAACATTTGTTCCGATTCTTAGTTTTAGGATTATTGTATATTGTGCATAGATTATCCTTGTTTGCATTCAATTATACATATTAGTTAGAACTGAAATCCTACTGTACTGTACATGAAAAAACAATACCAGTGTAAATAAACTATTAACATATAGCATCTTTTAATCTAAAAAAAAATCCCCAAAATGTGAAGTAAACAACAGTCAGAACAATACAGTTAAACTGGCACAAAAATGCCAGTCAAAGTTTATGTTAGGATCTTTTCTGATGCTCATACCAAAAACACACTGTCGATTTAGTGTCTTCTGGGGCACATCTGCTTTCAGAAAGTGGCTCATAATACAAGAAGATAGAAATTGGGAATACAAATCAGTCATTGTACTCATGCTCCCTGGGTTTAAAAAGACCTGTGCAAGCATTCGCACACACACACGCGCACACATCGCCTCAAGGCATGGAAGGCCAGTAACATCAAGTGTATTCAATTCACAAGGAGGCATGTTAGGGAAATCTGAGTGCCAGTTTGGGAAGGCTCTTCGCAGGTCTTTTCCCTCTACCGCCATTGCTTGAATAACGGTGAGTGCCGTCTTTGAGTGTAACTTCATTACCTGAAGGTGGAGAGACGGCCCTTGAAATCACAAACTTGCAGCTCTGGAAATGAAAGCTAAGTGGAGATAAGTGTTCCCACATGTAAAAATGAATAGCCTGAAGTTAAAATGAGGAGTTTTAGTGTACAATGTACAATACAAACAAAACTCCAGACGCATGGGGAGCATAACAATAATAAATGAACAAAGTATCACTGAGGAATTCAGTTCAAAATACATAGATACTGCTTGTGTAATTCTTGAATAAATACATTTCAAAAATACATATATTTTTACCTTTTCAAATTCTTTTTGTTAGAAAAATGTTAAAAACTGAAAGCAGCTACAATATGTACATTTTCACCAAAAACCTCTGGATATAATGCCATTCACCGCCTAAGCTGCATAAAATATTCCTGCCACAGCCAAAGTATTCAAACACAAAAACAAACAAACAGACAAACAAAAAAGTTTCTTCACAGTGCAGGAAGATATGATGCAACTCAAAGAACTGAAAAAATGTTGAGAGAAAAACATCATGATTAGAGGCAGCTCTGATGATGAAACATTGCATATCTGTTGTGCTGCTGAAGGGAAAGTGGGCTTCTTTCTCTCCTATAACAGTCACTTATTGCTTAGAGTTGATGCTGATACCATATTCTTATGGCGAAGTAATAGGTACGCTGGTCAGGAAAAGAATAACACCCTAATATTTTAAAGAAAAAGTCAGAATTAAGTCTAAATTTGAGCTGAAACTCAAAATATCACAACAATAAAGTTGCTATTATATGAGAAAAAACATAATATTTTAAAAATAAAACCACCAAATTAAAGGAAAATGTAAAAAATAATTCAAGCTACAGATGTAATAGAAGTACATTTAAGACAAACATAAATAAAAAGACATGATTTTACCAGAATAAAGTCTCAATGTTACATACAAAAGTTATATTAAGAACAATGTTTACAACATACTTAAATGATGAGAATTAAGTTATAAGTTTACAGCAGTATAGATTAGCATTTTATGTTAGTATAGTTCCACTTCTGTCTGAAATGGGCACATATATAAAATATTATCTGCAAAATATGCAACTTTCTCATAAATTGACTTCATCTTTTAAAAATTATAACCTCTTTAAAAATGATCATTTCTGTATAACAGACTTGTAATTGACTTCCTTTTTTAAATATGACTGCGTTTTACAGTTTCTCCCCCTTAGCATGGCTCTAAAACTCCAGCGAAGTTTTCAGCATGACAGAGAAAACCACACTCAGTCATCCCAGCCAAAAAACTGCCCTGTCATCTGGTAGAACTTCATGTTGAAGGGCCTGTAGAAATCTCGTAGCCTCTGTACCACCTCTGGGTCAATGTTGGGATGGGTCCTCCCCTTGGTTTTGCCCAGGCAGTGGGGCTTGCTGCTGCCCTCTGCCTTCTTGAGGCATGGGAATCCCTTGGTCTGGTTGAAGTAAAAGTGTTTGTCTGTGATGATCCTCTTGAGCCCCAGGAAGTCCTGCACACGGCCCAGCTCTCCGGCCGGGTCGCTGATCAGACGCTCACCGCTCACAAACAGGATCTGGTCCATCTGGAAGTACTGCAGCCAGTTGTCCAGGTGCTTGGCGTAGATGCCAATCTGGATGGCGCTCCATGAGGTGTCAATGAGCCCCGTAGTCCTGTTTTTGAAGGTGAGGCTCTCGAAAGAGGGAATGTCAGGCTTCTTAGACAGTGTCTGTGTGTAGTCTGAGATAGCTCTGGTGACGGGGTCCCTCACTACCACGATCAGCTTGGTGTCCCGGGACATGGCCGAGATCCTAGCGGGAGCCTTACTGGTCACAAAGTAGCTGGGGGTTTTCTCCATGGTGATCTGGCCCTCCAGAGTCTTGGGCATCAGCTCCCTGAAAGAGAAGCAGAAAAAGGAGGGAAAAGAAGGAAGTGAAATATTTGTTTGACCTGCACCTCTGACTGAAACACACTGAACAGCTGTCTGGTTGTGTCGCTGCTCTTGTTACAATAAACATTACAACTGGATGAACTCAGGCTAAGTCATCAATCAATCAATCAAGAATAACACTGGGAACAGTTTGTTTAGAGTAGTTTATTTGACCAAATGCTGATTTGCAGCTTGGTGCAGTATTACACTCATGCACGTCTCTGGATGTTAAGACATTCTAGTGGTGCCAGTATGCAGATGCTACCTCCAATGCTCCTGACTGTAGCCTGAGGGCTTATGAAATCAAGAAGGGCACTCCCCTGGGTGCATTAGAAAGGGGGTATCCTTGACTCTTATTAAATAAATGTCAGTCTCTATTCCCATACTGTGATGGTGTTGGCTATAAAATATTGATACTAGAGCTGAAAGTCCTTCTCAGCATAATTGATCAAATTCCTGTATTTCACCTTAAATGGAAGAACATAAGTGTTTCTTCACAAAGCCGTACTTATGGTTTTAGATCGTGTTTATTTAGAACATGACTTGAGGGACTACTCTTTTTGTAGGTACTGAACCGTTTCACTTCAGCAAACTGAACAGTGCACATATAGTGATAGACTGGTGCTCTAAATGCACTCACCTCTCTCTACTGTACTAAAAAATTTCACCTCAAAATGTTAGATTAAAGTCTCAAACCCTGGTGTTATAACATTTGATGGTAGATTTTATTTAGCGAGATATCCTCATTCCTTGCCGAGTCCTCATTCTCCCCAAAGGGACGGGTCTAGCCAACCCTTTACTCCCACTCCTCTTTCTCCACTTTCCTCCTTCCCCCTTCAGGACAGTGACCTTAAGCAAAGTGGGTAAAAGCAACCCATGAATGATTAATGTGCTCTCCCTCCGCCATTTAAAGCCTCTGCAGAATATAGCTTTAAAATTCACCAAAGTACAGAATGCAGGCGTTAATTATTCATCTGTCTGGCTGTGGCTGTTTAAGCGAGAACCGGCACTGACAAAGTGGCCCAGCCTGCTGCTCCCAGGACAGCTGCAGTGTGCCATCAGTGACAGACCTACTGAGACCTCTAAAATTTGTGAAGATTTAAGACTTGTGGCTGGTGCTTAAGACTAAAATAATGCAGCGGCAAGTACTAGCATGTACGATCACAGTGCAGCCTCTGCCTACCAGTGAGTGTCTTTTCCTGATGTGATGGCACCATTTTTCTGCCCTGCACAGTGGCTGGTAAACAATCATGCTTCATTTAACATACACAGAATAGAATGAGACAGAGGGCCATGAGATATCTGAAGTACTAGCATGTACGATCACAGTGCAGCCTCTGCCTACCAGTGAGTGTCTTTTCCTGATGTGATGGCACCATTTTTCTGCCCTGCACAGTGGCTGGTAAACAATCATGCTTCATTTAACATACACAGAATAGAATGAGACAGAGGACCATGAGATATCTGCTGAGTTTGACACAAACAGAGAGCATTTCTCAAAGACACTTGCTGTCATCATGAACATGATGGCTGGTTTTACTGAGGGCTTTCCTCTAACATCCAAACTTAATGACAAACAACCTTGTAACTGCCCAACAGAATGACACATACAGGTTTTTATTGATCAAAACAACTTTGTTACAGGAGGTTATAGCAGGTTTCTGTGTCAAAGTCTGATGCTTTGGTAGCCCATCCTTTCACCCAACCTCCTCCTTGTGCTGACTTTGTGGCTCTAATCTTAATTAGAAGTAAATCAGACCATTAATACAACTAAACAAAAAGATTGGGATTTAAATACTGACAATAAAACTAAAACCACATCACAGAAGGAACCCAAAACTGCTTTAGAGCTACTGAGGTGACAGCACAAGTGTGTGTAATTTCAGGCTTTTAAAACAAAACTTAACTCAAAGCCACGGGTCAGTATCTTCAGGCCAAAGTCAAAACACATCTGCTCTATGTATCCCAACTGGTTTTCTGTGTGAGGAACAGATCACAAGGTCAGCACAAGTGGGACATGCAGGAAGTGGTCGATATGAACAAGAAAGACAACACAGGTTCTCTGACGCCTCGACATCCACTAGCAACACTGATCATCACCTGACCTCCAGACTTCTCTCACTATCGCCAACCTCTCCTGCAGCTGTGTAAAGAGGAGCATGGACAAGGGTTCCTTTCCTCTCGCATTAGCTCTGCCCCATTGCCCCAGAGTCCAGAGTGAGGTTGTATAATGGTACTTTAAAACAAACCCAGTACCATCAGGGAATGCAGTGGCTACACTGACAAGTCAATAATAAAGAACATGGAGACTAACTATTGATAAATAAGCTCTAAAGGTTAAGTTCTAAGGTTCTAAATGTTGATCCTGTGATGACCTCTAAAGCAAATACTAAAATATGAAAACAACTTGCTTTCACAGTAAGCGAACTACACCAGGGTATTTCTTTTCTTTTCTTTATTGGCAGGGAAGGTGAGGTAACAGACAATCCATCCAAGTGCTTGTTGTTAACTGCGGGTTCAGATCCTGCTTTGATGTCTTCATCGTGCTGCTAAAATGAGACTCCCTATGCACACTGATGCATGAAACACAAGCAGCAGGATCCACTCATGAAACAAGGCACAGACCCAGAATGAAATAAGAGGCACGGCGCATCAACCCTGGCCTCTCTTTAAAACAAATTCACGGCTTTCGGCTTGTGTTTAAGTACAGGAGAAGAAACAGGAAAAATATTTAGGATGACTGAGGCATTCAGAACATAAACATGGGACTAACTAGCTGGAAAGCCATGCCAGGGCTTTTATAGGCAGCTATTCCCAATTAAAAAACCAAATTCATTGTGCACAGTATTGTGTGGTACATCACTCAATGCATCCTTTGCAGGCCCATCCATAAAATAACCACTGCTGTTGTTTCTCTACTGATCAGGTTTCACTTGCAAACCGACTCATATACATATGGCTGCCTGTTATATAATCCACCCCCCTGAATGGACCATAAGGTCATATACTGTAAACTGGGGTGTGCATAATATGACAGCATGGCACATAAATTAGGGAGCAGTAACAAAGCGATCAGCTCTGAATGGCCAGTTTCCTGGTGTTATCCTGGACCTCTTAGAAAGGGCCTTGGATCTGCGCCAACGTCTGTCAATTGATGGGAGTTGTAAAGACATAAAGGCAAGTGGGCATGAGTGCTGTCCACTTCTCCCCCGCAATCCTTTGATTCATCTTTCCTCTTCCTGCAGGGAGCTGTGGCAGGCATAAATACACTCCCACAGTGTTCCCCTGCCACTACTAGCAGATAATAATCTTGTAATTGGCTCAATATTTCTGCTCTTTGCAGGCAACACAAGGGCCAGCGCCGCTCTCGGTGGCTTGGACTCACCAGATATTTTCCAGATCAGTAATTGTTAGTGGCGGTCAGAGAGAAAGTGTGTGTGTGTGTGTATGATTTAGAGAAATGGCTGCTGCGCTGTGAGGGGGAAAGCCTACTCCTCTGAGCTCACAGCAGTGCTAGTGCTCAGTCAACCCAATGCAGCAGCACAGCCCTCTACCTGCCCTGCAAGCTGTAATCACCCAGCAGCACTACCACACATTAAGGCATGAGGAAACCTGAGGTGGGATGCTGGTGTGTAACAGACTACAAGTCACTCTGGGATTCCCACAGAAACTCTAATGAAAGACACACTAATATCTTAGCTATAAACTCTAATTGACCTCCCTTTGTATTAGTCACACTTTTTAGAGGTGGGCACAGAGCAGCACATCATCAAATCCAGCTAAATGGAGAGAGATTAAAGGATTTATAATTCAGGGATTACAGGTGTGACATAATATTAGGACCCTAACAGCCTCCCTCAGTGCTCCAGGATCTGCCCAACTGACCTTGTTTCCTCCACTGGATTTATAATCTTCATGTCATTTTTTTCCTGCACCCCTGCACTTTACAACTCTAAATCCTCTGTCCCTACTCCTCCCACATGGCTGCACAGGATTACTGCTGAGTTGCCCAGCTGCCATCGCACAACTGAATATTCCCTTTGTTTTCTGTTGTCAGGACACTACATCGGTTAGTGTACAGGATTTTATTCCAGCTAAAAGCTATCTAGTGCTTTTGATTCACAGCAAATAGAAAAGGTACAGAGGAAACAAGTAACAATGGCTCAGTTCTCTTAAGTGAACCAGCATAGTTTATATTTGGTTAATCTAAATGCTGTTGTTATTAATGTTACACCTTGTGTGTTTCCCGCTGTGAACTTTCAAATGTCTGGTTCAAAACAGTCTGTTTCTGCTCCCTGGGTGAAACACTGTTAATCTTTGACATCAAACGTTGCCTTTGCTCTCAAAATTCCCTTGGTACATGAGTAGAGACCTCTGTTAAAAACAACAACTTCAAACTGTGTTTTTAAAGCATTTCTTCTCACACAGATTGATTCTGAGCCACCTACATTTTACATGTCTTGATTTCAATGAGGCTAATTCAATTCAACAAATGAAACAAAACGCAGCAGCAACAGCTTTGGTGCAGCCTTTTTTAGGTTTTGTTCCCATAATTTACTCCCATCTTATTCAAAATCATTTGATGTGACGAGTACATTGGCTAAAACGTCCTGGAGTCATGCTTTGTTAAGAACATAGCTGTTATAATGAAGCCAACTCAAACTGTTCAGCAATTTGTACTTTGAATTTAGAAGAAACTGTCCAGTGTGGCCTCTTGGAAATAGGGAGTGAAATCGAAGTGGTACATGGGAACAGTAGGGGGCGGGAAGCAATTTTGAGAGATACAATTGCAAGATAAGAGAGTCATCTATTCCTGGAAAACAACATGGGAGGACAGGGTCTACTGTTTTCCTCTGGGAAATGACAAAGTTTGGATGGATTAAGTAAGGTAGATGACAAAGTTTGGATGGATTAAGTAAGATGGGGCACATGAAATAATGTCACCGTGGAGGAAAAAACATAAAAAATGTCAGCTTTTAATAGCAGAAAACTCAAATTACTGATTAGATATGCTTTGAAATTAGACAAGGATGTGGACAGAATTCAGAATCTTGTGTTGGTGGAGGAAAGTAGGAAATTTGATTGAAGATGGAAAAAAGTTTAAAATTAAACCTCAGATGGAAGGAAAAACAATAAAGAAAAGCTCATCAAGAACACAAGGGCAGACTGGAGAAAAGCAACATGGGAAATTGCACAAAGTCCCTCAAAGTGTTGTTGTCCATTCTCATTTGTCTCGAGACTGTCAGGCCACGAGCTGCTGAAAGCATTCGAGCACACACTTCTAGCCTCAAACACAAGGTGGCCTATTGCCATCGCAACTTTTCTCAGCTGAAACTCTTTCATTAGAGACCTCATAAATAATGTCTGGAGAGAAAAAACAATCAGACCTATGGTATGCGATTTGTTATGGTGTGAACCTGATTATAAATGGAGTACAAGAATAATATTATATCATACACTGTAGTAAAACTCTTTTCCTAAAATCTTGTGTAAATAAATCTCCCTGTTGGACACTCGCCTCCACCACTGAGCACAGTTTTCCCCTCTTTTTCCATACTACAACCACTATGCTATTTAGTGAAATATTTATAGAGTTAGCATTGCAGTATGTTCTTATAAATTTATCAGCAGTGGTTTTAAGAGAACTCTTCTTTTTTCCTTGATGCTGAGTATAAGTCCCCAGTTTATTGCATAAGGGGGAAAAATAAGCTTTTTCCTGTATGGCAACTTGAATTATTCACCCTCTCTAACTGTGGTAGAAGGGTGACCAAGGCAGGAAAAAGAATGCAGGACACAGTCGAGCTATTGGAAGCCTTTTAGCCATCAACTCGAGACAGCATATCAGGACAGAGGAAAGGAGTGGCTGAGTGATGAGGGACAGAGACGGAGAGGGACAGAGTGCAATAAATAGAAATAATAAAGAAAACAGACACAGTCAGAAATATCCCACTTAAAACTAGCATTTGTCTCCATTTGTAAACTTGTTTCCCAAAGTAGTTTTTGATTCTAGCAAACATTACTAGTGGTCATACATGTCTTAACCCCCAAGTCAGGAGAGACTGAAAGCAGCCATTACCCAAACTGTACTGCATGAGTTTCACCTATAAATAAAGAATAAGAACATTGTTAGAAATGATATGAGTGATGGCCCAAACTTTAAACTAACAAACCAAAACCTAAAGTTTTAATGAACCAGAATTAGCTTTCAATTTATCTGGAAAATCTGCAGGTCAGTCAAGTCTGTCAGAGCAAGTGAGTCACTGGAGTGATTGCAGTTAATCTGAAGGGGCCATTGAAGCTACAACATGTAACATAAGGCAGCATTACCTTGAAACTCTAAATCAATCCACTCTGCACCTCTACTTTATGTAACATAAGGCAGCATTAACTTGACACTTTAAATCAATCCACTCTGCACCTCTACTTTGATCCGCTGCTCCACCACGCGCTGTCTAGCTCTTCAGATAATTGTCATTAAGAAATTATAATAAATGAGAAAGCAACAAAACTCACTGATCAAGGAGAAATAATTGAAAATCTCTGATTGATTAGAGGTCATTCCTGATCAAAACCTTTTAGAAGATAATATCTCTGCACTGCTGCCAGTGCTGTCCAATAAGTCTCCACATTAAGACAAGTTATGGAGCATATTTCTACAGCAAAAGTGTTATTTTGATTTAATATGTGAAAATTTCATAGCAATCAATGCAACAGTTTCACAAAAATTCCACTGACAATCACAGGGGACCACCAAAGTCTGCATGGCTTCATCCTCTGGTGACCGTGAATGTCTGTATGATATTTAATGGCAATAGATCCAATAGTTTTCAGCCTGAACCAGAAGAGCAGACCAACAGACTGACTGACATTGCCTGAGTCCCAGTTAGCTGAGCTGTGATCAGATTACTTGGAGAGTCTGAGAAACCCACATAAACTGAAAGCTGCCAGTATATTTTGCACTTAGTGATTCATGTTCCATTTAACTAAATTACTATAAGACCTAACCACTAAATATAACCCAAAGTGGAGCTCTGTATTGTATCAAATGTCATCACATGGGGTGCATGTGTCTAAGTGGATTCTCAGACGCAGCACACACGTTACTTTTCATATTTCTCTGACCCACTTGTTCAGACTTCCATGCTGCTGGAGACAGAGCAAGTGGAGGTTACATGACTGATGCTATTTGTCTTTCTGCCAAGTAAGTTTTTAGGGTCTCAACAGCTTGTGGGAGATACAACACCTAAACTTGGGCTTAACACCAAAGCTAATTTTCAAGGTATTGTGTTTCTTGAATGTTCGCTTAGGAAATTTCAAGTGGTCTTTATATAGCCCTCCTTATCTGTTCCTCTTAGTTTCTAGTATTGAAATAATCAGAGGAAAAAAAATCAGAGAGCCACTTGGCTCAAATGGAGAAGATTTCAATGGGTATTCAAAATCTACATTTAAGCCTGATTTGAATGTAAAAAAATAAAAAGCCTTGTGTCAAATGCATGGGAGCAAAATTAAATGTGGATTTGTTCAGAGCCAAATGGAAAGCTCTGAGGGGACTGCTCTGCGATAATTACCCATGACAAAAGGCAAATGGAAAGCTCTGCGATAATTACCCATGACAAAAGGCTAGGGTTTTGTCTTTGGGACCATTACCATGGTGATTTTCAAGCTGCTGAAACATTCAATATAAATGTTTCAGTCTGCTGAATATGCCACATAGACTGTTGCTGAAAAGATACCTGGCCTGGGAATGCCTCACAATCTCGCCAGAGGAGCTGGAACACCTCATTGGGCAGAGGGATGTCTGGACTACCTTGTTGAACCTGATGCGACCCAACCCTGGATAAGCGGATGATAATGGATGGATGGATGTTTGGTGCCCAGTGGTATCCCCCAATCACCAGTGGCAGTAGTGAGCAATTGCTTCTTGGCGCACCAAAATGAAGAGAAGACACCAAAATACACTAGAACAAGCCACATGAAAGTGAGATTTGTGCTTTACTGGAGGTGCCTTTCAAATATGGTGGTCTACTTTTTCAAGAAAAAATACTTTAAGGGTGGTTACAAAATTGTTGGCTTTGTGTATGTGCATCTGTTTTGTTTGCTGATCTCCGTTAAAGTGTAGTTCACAGCTGTGCTCCAGCTGTTTCTGTGAGATGTATCCAGGACTGTCTCAGTCCCAAATGGTGCTAGTATTGCCTTCGTTCTGCAGTATTTACCAGTTGTTATGCATTTTGTCAGTTTCCTTTCTGCCCATGTGAATTCTTGAAACAGAAAAACTGCCACACAACAGCTATAAAAGGTGGCGATGGCGCATCACTATGTCAGCTTCAAATTCTGTGACCTTAACACACTTGTACTAGCAAAAAAACCACATGTAACGGTCTGACAGGTACATCATGATCCCGTGGCGGTGATGATAAATTACCCTATTGATATCACAAAATTACAAATATTACTTCCCTAGTATTTTTCACTACTATGATGATATAGATTTCACTTTTATTGCCAAACCCATACAAACTCTTCTGTGCTGTAGGTATGTTTCTAAATCACCCAGTAATAAATGAGGATAACAGATAAAGAGAAAGGCTCACCAAAAGCTGTGCTGCGGTTTGTCAGTCCTGAGTAGGCATTGCCGCTGGGTGAGGAAGTGGCTGGGGACGACAGGGGACTGTAGGAGGCTGGGTCAGTCTGGTAACTGTGGCCAGAACCAATACCAAATGGGCTGGACTGGGCTTTACTAGGCTGGAAAATATAATATACAGCATATCAGGCATGTAACAGAACAGTCAGCTCAAGGTTCAGTATAATACAAGATTCAGGGTTCACAGTGCTCTCATGTTATTTTTAACCCGGTTTCCTGAAAATAAATACAAGTAGAATTACATTTTTATACCTTCCTTAAACAGAAATATACAAAAATGATATTTTCAACATTTTTTTGTAATTTGTTTATTTTTTTCCCCCTCTCATGACAAATGATCTGGCACTGTGAGACATCATGGTTAATGTGACTTGGCCAAAATTCTAAATAAAACCGGTGAGTGCAAAGTCAGCAAGACCCATAATGGTACTCAAACGGAAAACACCTTTGTGTTAAAATAAGACAAAAGGGGCTGGATTAGTGGGGGTGTAATGTTTCAGGTCACACACATTGGTTTAAAATACTTCAAAGAAAGATTTTATAACCTCTGAAAGTTAACATGTCAGTAATGATTTTATCTTTCATCACAGCAATCACAAGGTAAACAGTAGTCAAATCAAATTTTATTTGTATAGCACCAAGTCACAACAAAAGTCATCTCAGGACCTTTGAGCAGCACCTGACTTGGGGAGCAAATACCCAGCAGAGATGATATATTCTCAGTCTTTTGAAGAAAAACAATCTGAATGAGAAACTGCTGGTGTCCTTCTATCACTGCTCAATAGAGAGCATTGTAACATACTGTGTCTGTGCCTGGTTCGCCAGTTGCACAGCTGCAGACAGGAGAGCGCTCCAGAGGGTTATTACCAGAGCCCAGACGATTATCGGTTGCCCCCTACCATCTCTGGAAGAACTGTACAGTTCCCGTTGCTTGAAAAAAGCACAAAACATTCTGCAGGACCCATCACACCCTGAACACTGTCTGTTTGAACTGCTGCCTTCGGGGAGAAGATACAGAACAATTATAGCAAGGACAAACAGATTAAGAAACAGTTTTTATCCGAGAGCTATTGTTGCTTTAAATGCTGCTAAAACCTTAAAATTTGAATGATTGATGGGATTTTACGGGAACTGTGCAATAGTCCGATGTGTATGGATGCGAGTGTGTAAATTTGTTGGGTTTTATTGTTTATGATTATTTTTTATCATCGAAGGATTGCATTTTTTAAAATTTCGTTGTACAATGTACAGTGACAATTGTACATGACCTTACTGTTATCACTATTATTACATAGGGAAAACCCAACAAATCCCCTTTATGGTAGCACCCTTTGTAGTTTACTAGCTGCTTTGTAGTCATTGTCTGCTGGCATTTGTGTGATTGTGACACCAGACGGTTTATTGTCGGCATGTTTGTAAAGATTTTCATGCCTTTGTGTGACTCCTGAACCAGATGGCTAGTATCCTTGTATTAACTGGTATCCTTCATTTGTTTGAGCATTTGTCTCCTCTTGTATACACACACACACACTTGCAGAAGTAGCCCTCTGTTCTGGGAGCTTCTCTTCTTCAGACTGGTTAGACACTCTGTTTAGTGTCTGCTCCTTTCTGCAGACATAAATGTGTAATAACTTTCAAAGTTTTCTTTTACACTCACTGAGCTTTAATGGCTAATTTTGCCACTACAGTCTGTGTACCTAAAAGTGCCCAGTGGGTTAGAGTTATGTATTTATGGTACATTGTGCCATGAGTAAATGTTTAACCCTTGTATTTCTTTCAGTGCAACTGGACACCAATGAGGTGGAAGCTGAGGCTTCAGTTGGCAGACTGAATCTTGTGCAACAAACAAAGCACCTGCTAAATGATGCCTTGATCATCCCCAGTGACTCTGTGGGGATTGCTGGCACTGGCACTGCGACCACTGTGATGTCCACCTCTACCAGCCCTGCCCCGTTCTGTTCAGCCTCAAATCCTCATTTTATTGCGGTCCGGCCCCCTGGCTCTTCGACTGCCTCCACACCTACAGTGAAAACCTCATGATGTGTAAAATAAAGAGGCTTTCAAGGTATATTTGTGGTTTCTTAAGCAAATCAGACACTAGCATAATCACAATACTAGCATCTGGCTCAAGAGGTCACACAGCAATGCAGAGTGACCAAAAAAAAGGTAACACCAATCAGGTAAAGCAGCTGGCCTCAGACAGTTGACCTTTGTGTGCAACAGGCTATGGGTGGAGAGACTGAACCTGTGTGGAATGCCTAGGAGAAAAGGGGAAAGATGAAATTAAGCATTATAAAATGTATAGCATGAGTAATCTCATTACACCACAGTAAATGCAGTTGAAGGGACAAGAGATGTTCTTATAATCCCAGAGCAATCAAACTCTGCTGCATTTGTCAGTCCAGTAATGAGGTATGAGATGGTCAGAGGAGCAATGCGAGAGGTTGCTTAACATTGAGGATATATGTCATTTATTCCAAGTTCATGACTGTCTCTACATTGAGAAAATATTTGTCATAAAGCAGAACTTGGTGTGGTTTACAGTATTTAAGATTCCAGTAAACCACAAGAATGGACGGGGGCTCACATTTGAGTCCTCAGATACCCTAGTAGTTATTGGTAATGCAATGTTTCTACTGTAGAAATTACAAAGTGCAATGACTTTAGTTTTCATTTCAATGTTTACTTTCTGATTGTGATGAAATATAACAGAAGACTGTGCAATACTGAGCTTGGTACTGGTATCGGTGCATCCCTAGGTTTTCCTGTCATCTGTGACCTGTTGATTTATTGTGTACATGTTGACAGGAGAGCAGACGGTTTTACACTGAATGAAAATGTACCATCATTGAGATGCTTTTCAGAAGTGTTATCATTCTATAGTTTTGTTGCAGTCAAATTTAATGAGGATCTAAACAAATATATGCTGACACATGAATAAATTAAGATTTAGACTGCAGCAGTAGGAAATAAGGATATAGTTGCATTTTAGTTTCTATAAAAGATATTTATAAACATATACAGGACCTTTCAGTACATAATTGTTACTAACAGCACTACAGTTCACTCCTAGCTTTTCAAGTGTAACATGCACAAAGTCCATGTTTAGGGAGTCATAGTGCCGTTATTGTGATGCCCACTGTGGTCAGTCTTTGGGGTCCCATCAGCCACTGGCTCTCTATGCTTAACAGTTGCTGTGTCCAGTGCCTTCAGTCATGTTCGAGCCACCTGCAACATTTCCTCCACGGTCAGTAGTTTTTCTCTGGGTTTTCCAGTGGCTTCACCCCTCTTAACCTCCACGCTGTCGATCTTCTCCCAGTTTGAGAAAGTCACTGGTTTCACTCCTACAAACAGAATGTAAACCGCACTGGGCTGTGGCTTAATGACGTTTTTAGATTATCAACTTGTGAACAAATCTGTAACATGCATATAACTAAATGCAAAGGGGAAAAAAACAGGACTGGTATAGATTTAGTGTTATTGGGGATTTGATCTCTATAATTTTTCAATGTGAAGTGCCTCATAAACCGGTTATTAAACAGTCTGCAGTTGTTGTGCAGCTTTTTTTTATTTATCATTAGCAGGAAATTGCTATGACCCAATATTTTTTATCTATGATCATGAGTATATTTCCCTTTCCTCTAGGAAGCTTCTGTGTAAGACGTGTGTGTGGTACATGGAGAGACTGCGCAAAGTGACGGCATTTGCTATAATAAAATCACAAACGGAATAAATCAGCAAAAGAGTTGGTGACCCAACAGCAAAATCGCGTATTTTTAAAAACGTGAATCGGGACGAGTCTGATATGGCTCAGGCATGTAACATGTTCTTTTCCACTGTAAGCATGTGAGCATGGAGTGTGTGTGTGTGTGTGTGTGTGTGTGTGTGTGTGTAACAGAGAGACATGTCGGCATTCGAGTGCCTCTCTTGACCAAGTCAATCATTATAATCAGAAGTATTATTGGTGCTGCCTTTGATATAATTATTTAAAGCTTGTTTTGAAAAACTAATATGTTTGATACAGGAATATATGAATAAAAATTTATCTCGAACTATCACAGGCTTGAGATTACATACTGCAAACTCTGAGGTCAGGGCTCAAGCAGAAGGTGGTAAATCATCTAAATGGGCATTGCAGTACCTCTCTTTTCCAGCAGAGCTCTGATGGTTTGTGAACCAGGCTTGGCAGAAGATATATGTAAAACTCCTGAGTCCATGTCTTCCATCAAGGACCGTGCAGTGTCAAAGCTGTTATTCATAGTGGTGGCTATCACCCCAGTGGGGCCAGTTTTCAGCCAGCCACTACAATATAAACCTAGAAAGAGAAAAACATTCACTACATTTTCTCAGTGTTACCCTTAGACAGGATTAGCCTGCTAAGTCATCTTGCTTGTTTATGTAAGACTAATGTTAAACACACCTTCACACACATTCAGTGTACATTGCTGTACCTGCTGCTTGTTGAACACGGCCCATGGTGTTTGGGACAATGGCTTTGTGGGAGTCAAATGGTATTGATGGATCTATGGGGACACTCCTGTAGCCAATACTACTAATGACCAGACCGCAGCTCACATCCTCCACTTCTTCAGTGAGCATGGCGCATGCTCCCTCACCTGAACCCTGGTCACACACAGTACCCCCAGCTTTAACCAGGCCAATATACTAAGCAGCTGCACACAGCTACAAGGGAGGGAGGGGGGGGCTCTTAAGTTTTAAGATCCAAATCCTGCTTACCTCCAGCCTGTTGACTGCCAGTCGGATGCCAGCTGTTCTGTTGTGGTCAGGATCGGCCAGAACTTTGACGGGACTCCGGAAGAATCGAAAGCCCCAAGTACGGGAAGCCTTATTCCGTCTCTCCTGCTCCATCTCTCCTGGGATCTCGAGAGCTGTCTTCAACAACAGCTGTGTCAGACGCTTCCTGGGCCGTGGCAAATCTGACACCACAGAGAAATTTAGTAACATCTGTCTGGGTTGAGATCATTTCTTTACTTTATAAATATTTTTTCTTGTATTTAAAATAGTTACAACCTATATAATGTATGGCTGTGTGTGTATTTTTGTCCATAGACTATATACATAGCACGTATGTATGTATACATGTGTGCTGATAAACATTTTCATCCATGTGTGTATAATATACTGTAGGGATGTCTGTGCATGCATGTTTGCAGAGGTGTTCACATACCAAAAACCAGTTATCAAAAGCACACACAGCCACATTTCCGCCAAAAATATCATAAGCATCAGCACATAATTGTGAAACCTGCATGTTTTATTTATAACAATAAGTACTGATCTTCATACATTTTCTGTAACTGCATGCATTTTGATGTGCTGCTGTAACCACAAGCCTGTCATCACTTCTGTGCGGCCCATATCATCACTGACAATTCCAAATTTAGCAGCACTAAAAACAAGACAATCGCAGAGAACCAGTTTCTAAGATCATCCTTCAGTGCTTAGAATGTTTGAGAGAGAGGTAGAGATCAAGGTTCTCACAGTTGGCCATTAACAGAATTAAAGAGGCTGTTATCTCTGTTAGTGTGAGCATGCCCAGTGCCATCCATCAGTGTCATTCTACTAGCAAGGAGAGGACGGTGACTAGTGTTGCATAATTCAGAGCATGAATCTTTTCTTAAGCTGCAGAAGTGTTTTGAACTACACAAACTCTAGCACCAGCTGTCTTGAATAGTTTCCATTCACCTCAGTATATATGAGACATAGGTCTCAAAAAGGCACATTCCGGATGTTAACCACAGCATACATGTCTTCCTTCCTTGTGACACTTTCAACAGTCTCTGCATTACTTGAAGACTTACTTCTTGTGAGATCATATTTGCAACACACATTCTTCTCCAAAAAAAAAACCAAACAAAAAAACAAACTTTGACTTATTTTATTGTATTGCATATACAATACTCTATACTGTATGCGTCTATACTGTATGCCATCAAATAAAAAGATAGTTTCAAAAGGTGTCAGTCAAAAGCTGAAACACCTAAATAAATAAAGTACAGTGCAGGCAGCATCTAAACAAACAGAGTATTACCATAAAATTTCATCTTGTACCTTTAAGAGCATCTATGACACCCTGAAAATCAGCCACTACCATCTCGGGCCTCGTGTCGGGCAGGTTCACCATTTCTCTAAGCTCCTGTACACAAGGAGAACACAACTGTGATTAAACAGCAAATTTAAAATGATCCTGGATGATGAAGGCACTGATGCCATTGACTGGCCCTCACATTCCCCTGACCTAAATCCAATTGAGAACCTATGAGACATTATGTATCGGTGCATCTGACGCCACCAAGTACCACCACAGACTGTGCAGGAGCTCACAGAGATCCCCCAGGATACCATCCACCGCCTCATCAGGAGCATGTCCGGATGGTGACGGGAGTGCACACAGGCACAGAGGGGCCACACACACTTCTGACTCACATTATGAGTTGCTGTGATGAAGTTCATGGAACCTGGATGAGCCTGTCATTTCAACTTTTCACTTTGATTTTCAGTGTGATCATGAACATGGGCTGATGACTTTGGCTTCCACTGAACTTGAATAATTCAATCATCAAGATCCAATGTGTGATTTAATGTTCCCTTAGTTTGTTTTGAGTAGTGCACAGTATATTCACAAATTTGTTTATGAAGAAAATACCAAAAGTAATGGATAAGGAGTTGAAATCATTAGCTCAAAATAATAAGTACAAGTAAACTGCAGGAATAATTAGCTAAAAGCCATGAATTATAATTTGAAAAAGGTAATCCATACACATTGGTGATACAGATTTAATCAGCCATGTTTAACTTGTTAAATAGCTAGTTAAAAGTAACAAATGAGCTTCTGCCCCTCCTTGTAAAAGTAGTAACAATGCAAACTTGAAAAACAAAACAAAAACAAACCTAAAGTCAAGTCAGTTTTAAATTATACTACATTTAAAAATGACAAATGTTGAATAAGGTGCTTTACAAATAGAAGAAATGAACAGATAATTATAACCAGATCAAAACAGACAAGATCAAAAACAAGACATAAAAACATATGAAAATTATTAAAAGCTTGTACTATAATCTCTAAGCCTTTAACAGACAGTAAAGGTTTTCATTGTGGTATGGTACTTAACATCCACTTTAAAATCAATTGAAATTAACACAACTGACACACAACAGGTGGACTAATAAGTACTACCTCATCCAACAGGACTGCCAGGGTTTTAGAGGCAAAACAGGCTGGGGAACCACTGTCAGTAGCAATTGCTATATTGCACCGGAAAATTGTATGCCCAGCTACAGCAAGTACAGCAGGTCAAAGTAAGCTGTGGGCATTTATAACAGACAGTTTGGAAGATATTTACCAATCTTCCTCTTTTCATTTCCAAATATCTAACTGGCTGCTTGTATTTTTTGCCCCATCAGGCTTTTACCAATGGTGTGTTGCAAGATCTGATCAAGGCCTCAGACTGGCTTGGTGAGTTTGGTGGTTGTTTTATTAAGCGAGAACAAAAAGAAAATGTTACTTTCAGTTTTTTTTTTTACCCGAGGTTTCTTGAACAGATTTGCATACTCTTGTCACACAGTCATTTGCGTGTCACATTTTCACTTGGTTTACAAAATAGGTGGGTTAGTGTCGTTAAAGCAGTGTGGTGGTCAGTATTGGTAATCAATTTTGTTCTTCTCTCAAACAAATGTTCTCCTCTGACACGCACCTTGATTGTGCAAGCAACCTGCATGGGTCCTCTCCTGCCAACAATCAGGACCCTGCGGACCTGGCTCTCTGCCAGGGCCTCCAGGGCTGGATGGGTGATGTCAGTCTTCTGTAGGAAAACAAATTACAGGCCTGTCAATGGAAAACTCTCTGACTTCATTCCAAACAAAACAATGCCTACTGTTTAATAACACTATAGTGCTTAAAAGGTGCGTCTAGTAGTTAAACATGCAAGGCACACACGTCTTCATGATTTATTGTAAACCTAGGCGGCACCTGACACCTGATTTTCCAACTTACTTTGAGGGTTGTATCGAGTGCTATTGGCATTTGTTTATGTGAAATATATAAAAAATTATTACTGTGTACTTATCTTAACCAAGGCTGTGTGCTTGTCACCTTTAAAATGTCAATGGGAGATAGCAGGACTCTTGCTACATCCAGGGCCACATTGCCTTGTCCCAGAATGACTGCCGTTTCACAGCTCAGGTCTGGACTCAGCTGAACAGAAAAATAAAGACGCAAGAAGAGAGAAACTGAGATTTGATGATAAAGGAATAGTACAGGAAATACAAATACCACGCTGACTGATGCGATAGCCTTTTAAAGGCAATGCTACATCCATTTCATTTACGGGAAACATTCGCTTGGTGAGTGTTAAGCCGTACCTCCTGACAGCTGGGAAGCCCATTGTACCAGCCGACAAAGTCTTTGGCAGAGTACACACCAGCCAAGTCTTCTCCTGGCACTCCCATGCCCCTGATTACATACACACACACACACACACACATATATAAAAAAAATTTTGAAAAGCACTTCTTAGACACTTTTCTTTAATGCCAAGCCAATTTATGGTGCACACAGCATATTGTTTGCGTTGTTACCAGTACGACTGCGTGGTAGGCTTGCTGCAGCTCCTCAACGCTCACGTCCTTCCCCACATTCACATTACCGTAAAAACTGCAGCGTGAATGTCTGGCTGTCTGCGTGAATGTGTTGATGACATTCTGAGGAGATGAAAAGATCAGAAGTGTTAAAATAGTCTGACAGCTCCTGCAGTGCTGAGAAAACTCCAGTAAGCTTGATTCGGCTATTATTTTCAGTGATATTCACCAGCTATATGAAATGATGCACAGAAATGCTTGTCTACCCTTATTTCTGTCACAGTTGTAAATGCGAAGTCTTTCTCTAAATCTAATGACCTGAATGAATCTGAAGATCGCTTTTCCTCCATTTGCGCTTGACTCGTGACAGCCAGCCTGTTTCTCGATGGTGCTTTTTGCTCGCCAAAGATGTTTTACAGCGAAAATGACCAAGTGATGTAAGGCTTACTGGTACATACTGTAGGTTCCATAATGACAGAAATGGTATCATTTAAATGCCTGTTTTTTAAACAGCAACCGATGTGTTTTGGGTACCAGATAAAACCAACATATCAAAGAAAACACAGAAATGGTCAGAGCGGCCGACATCCTTGACAAAAGTGCTTGAGATATCAATGCCCTTGGTTTGTGCCCTTGAGCGGGTGTGGGTCCTTTCACATGTTGCAGCAAATCAAATGTTTCAAACACACCACAGAATTCTTTTTAAGTTTGTCATTTGGATTATCAATATGAATGTTAAAGTCACCAGTTATGACAATGTACTTGACATCTGCTGAGATAACAGAAAGCAGCTCAGTGAAGTTTTCTGTGAAATCTGTAGATGATCTTGGAGGCCTGTAAATTATTAACAGCAGGACCTTTGCTGTGCCAAAACAAAGATAATGAAAGGAGTCAAACTCACTGGATAGTAACTGTTTGCACTGGAATGAATCTTTAAATACAACAGCAATGCCTCCCCCACTTCTGCTGCACCCAGAAACATTCATAAACTTTTTGAGGGGCTGACTCAGTGAGAACTGGGGCACTTTTACCACTGTGCAACCAAGTTTCAGATAAAAGAATAAAATCAAGGTTATTAATAGTAGTAAGAGCACTGACTAAAAATGACTTGCTACTAAGAGACTGATTATTTAACAAAGCTACCTTTGTAGAAGTAGTGTCAGTAGAGTCAGAAGGAGGAAAAAAATAGAATTACTGCTTCGGGGTCGTATGCCTCCACCAACCAGTCAAATTTCATGGGTATAAATCAGAAGTGAGGTCACTGAGCTTTGACCACCAAAATCTAATCAGTTCATCATTTGGTCAAAGTAGACACTTGTGCCAAATTTGAAGAATTCCCTCAAGGCGTTCCTGACATATCAGGTTCACAAGAATGGGACAAATACACAGTGACCTTTGACCTTTGACCACCAAAATCTAATCAGTTCATTGTTGAGTTGAAGCGTACACTTGTGATAAACTTGTGGTGCTATATACAATAGCATGCTACTTCCGCTGTTGTCCTAGGCAGACAGTCATAACTGGTACACTCCATCTGCAGTACAGTCTGTTATCTAAAGCTTGCTAAAGTGTATCATATGCAACCAGTGCCTCTGACAGATGTGAAAATATTGCTGAACTACTGTAGTTCCACAGTGGGATGCACACAGTCACTTTCTCTACGTGGAAGCCTGCGTGTTTAGATTCTCATTTTCACTTCACTGCCTGTGAAACTTGTTATTACGGAACTTTCAGAGCTGGTACATACTTTCAAGATGCTGCTTTTCAAAACTATAACCGCATCACACCCCAACATGTAACATCAAGTGATACCAGACACTGTGTCATTTATTCCAAAATGTTTCCATACATCACTGTTTTACTTGAAGCAATATTATTATCATGGCACTTTACTTTCCATTTCAGGTTTACAACAGTAATTGATCTGCATTTTCCCATCACCTGTGCCAGGGAGTTTTTACAACAGACTAGGCAGGACTTAGTTTTCATAACAGTCTTCACACACTGCTGCAAGGACATCACTAAACAGGTTTATCTGCAATACAGACTGAGTTGGGGCTTGCTCAAATATGCCTATTAATTTAATCAACACACAAACAGGTCTTTGATACATCTTATTTTTAACTAAAGGGTCATAAAGCAAGATTAAATCGGATTATTGTGAAGTCCTAAAGACATGTCAGTCTTAAAAGCGAGTATAAATCATCAGAGGTTATGATCAATTCAATTATATTTGTTTAGAGAGGGTCAAACTAATTATGTCTGCATCATTGAAACACCCTTGTTTTCTTTCCCAAAAGCAGCAGAGCTTGATCGAATTAGCTTTATCTGTTATTAAGCATATCTCATTAGGAGTACAGACCTTAACTTCCGGATGATCAGGGGCCACTCCGAACCTGACCAGGCCAAAGGGGACGGGCAGCTGCTCGTAAATGTCCACCTCAACATCTTTACGGGCCTGGGACCACGATAAAGGGAAAACAAAATCAGAGAGTGGCTCCTTTCAGCTCAGTTCACATTCAGTTTATTTTCCTTTCAGAAATTATTTTTGTGCTTGTGGCAGACGTCAGACAAATACATTACACAATAACACAATGCCATCTGAGCAACACATACAGGCACCACATAATAAACAACCATTCACAAAGATAATAGCTGTAGCAAATGACTGTAAAAACATCTCCTGAGAAGGTCACGGTCCTTCAACGTGAGCATGTTTGCATGCTGATACCCGCAGTTAGTAAGTGTAGTTTCACGGAGCTGCATGGCTGAACACTCACAGGCCCTTTTTACACTGCCCATTCAATGTGGGAGCTTTCTGCCTCTCCGTTGTGCAAAAGGTACAGTGGTGGGTCAATGTTGACCCTCCAAAGTGCCGCAGTGAGAGTGAGTATTTTTGCTGAGACAAATTCACCTCACTTCCTGTATAAACGAAATGAGGCGGAATGGGGGGTGGGGGGGTGGTTGGAGGTCCTCATGAGAGAGAGAGGCATCACAGAACAAAGTGAATCAGAGAATTAAAATTTTTTTTTTTGCTTTGTTTCAGTGTCATTGCGTTCTAAAGCAGGAATTAACAAAGCCACACCTTTGCCCAAGCCTGTGGGAAAGTTTTTTGAATGCGGCCAAAACTCACCCTTCTGTCTGTTCTGAGGTGAGGTGAAATTTGTGTGTGTGTAGCCCTGCCCTCAGGCACACAGACCTGCATGTAATGTAAATCCCGACTGTTATTAATAAGCATCATGTATCGAGCAAAATCAAATAACAACCTAAAGTCACTGGCTGCCAAGTACACGGACCATCACGCATCATGACAGGCATCACGCCTCTAGTACCTGGATTTTGGCCACTGTGTAAAATGAACAGGAGTGGCAGTTTACCAGCTTTTTTTTGTTTTGTGTAAAAGGGCTTAAATCAAAAAGCGGCCTTGAAGGAAGGTCAAAACACCAGCAGAGTGCCATGATCTCTGTGGTGCCTCAGTCTTTCAATAACTTCTGCTGAGGAGAAAAAATTATTTCAAAAGAGAAACGATCTATTACAAACAAATCCAATTTGAAAAAATGTAAAAGATCTGGAAAAAAGAATTGCATTTCTAATATAACAGGGGAGATATGGAAAATCATGGTGGCTAATTATGGTTGCTTAGCGAGCATCTTCCTGAGTTTTCATTTACGTACGTAAGATGCAGCGGCAAGTTTACAAAATAATACAAAGGTGCGACAGTGATGGAAATGTAAAAACAAAGTGCCATCCTTGGTTTTTCTCATTTTATTTGTATAAGCTAATTCAGAAATGTAAATAAGGAGCTCAACGAATACTAACTTAAAAACACCACCTTGGTCTGCAGTTTTTTTCCCTGTCCTACTTATAGTGCGTGATGACAGGTTGCACTGTATATGAGCATCTATTGAAAGGCACCAACTCAGAGCTTGAGTACACCTGGTTCACTCAGTCAGGGTGTGACAAGAATAGGGGATTATGTAGTAGAGTATGTCTGAACATTTATGTGAAAGGACTCTAAAAGGACTGGAACAATGATGCAAAGGTTACTAACACTTTATTTGCTCAAAATGAAACTGGGTAAGAGGCAGGGTACACCCTGGACAGGTTGCCAACATGCAAACTCCACACAGAAAGCTTGGGATTTCGAACCTGGAACCTTCCTGCTGTGAGGCCAACAGCGCTAACATCAAATCCTAATGGTTGTATTCTCAACCTCACCAAAACAGGGTGTACCTTGATCAAATGCTGCGCCGTGTAAAAGCCTGCTGGACCGCTTCCCACAACACACACCTTGGGGCTGCAAGAGGAAAAACACACTTTTCCACGCCTACTTACACCTGTAGAATCAGCAGAGGAACAGAAACACAGTTACTCCTGTTTGTTATCGCTTAACCTTATTAAGATATGTGGCAACAGGTAGACAACGCCACGAGCAGTTCAGCCGGAAGTAGCCTAGTATCCATAACACTACAGCCCAGTAGGACTTGGTCAAAGACTGCACCAGAGTAAAGCATGAAGCTGTCCAACATTTTATTTTATGGCTAGACGCCAGCTGGAAAACTGTATATGCCGAATTGTTGACTGAAACCAATTTTATCGGGTTTGGCGCGGTCTCCCTCGGTTAAGAATATCTACCATTACGTGTTAAGCATTAACCAGATCCACAGCCAGGGTTACACGCGGTTTCAGAGGGCTCACCGTCACAAAGTCGACTTATCCATCCAGTTCTTCCTAAAGTCCGCAGTTTCATTTCGGAAAACAGCAGTTTGTGGTAGCTCATCTTTTCCCCTGACTACAGACAAGCTGCCTGGCACTAACTTAAGAAATATTGTTTGGTTTAACTGGTATTTGCTAACCAGTATAACACTGTAAGTAATGTTACCCCCCTGCGCGCGGAGCTTTAGGCAGTCAGAAGGACTAAGAGTAAAATCCAAGGTGAAAGTCGTTCATCTTTACTGGGTAGGCGGTGCGTCTTCAGCTAGCTAGCTGGTGCTAGCAGCAGCTACATGTACACGTTTGAGCCGCGTTTCTTTTATTGCACAGACATTTTTAAACACTATCGCATAGTAAACAGTCCAGTTTAAGGATGCGCTTTGTGTTACATCCATCACAGTCCCTGGAAAACTGACAGTTCAGTGCATAAGTTCCACAAGAACAGTGTAGCCTACATCAATAGTTTTTAATATAAATTAATAAACTGCTGCTTTTTGACGAGTCTTACCACGCTTATGTTACTGAATAAGCATTCTCCTAGTCCAGACAACAATGAACATTGTGCTCTTTCCTAAGATTTAAGCCTGAATGGTGCATATACTGTAGCTACTGAGAAATAAAATGTGAATTGAGGTGGATTTTCTTTTCTTCCTCCAGTCTAAGATTAACTGGTATGTGTATTTTAAGACTCTTCAAAGGAACAGCACGAGTGGGGAAGACTTAAGATTTAATGTACATATCAAGTTAGGCAGAAAACTCTGGTACACATTAGTTTAAAAGCTCAAAATATATTCAGTGAGACACAGAAAAGCATGCTACAAACACACAGCAAAACTCAAAAGGTCAAGCAAACATGTTGCATCACATAGAATTAACAAAACATTTTTCTTCAGCAAGGCCGTTCACACGCAACACACCTGTACACCCCACACACCAGGATGTGGTAGCATGATCACTTTTCTGCAAACAAAACCCAGATTTGTGTTTTAAAGGAAATGATCAGCAGAACAAGAAGAAAGACACCTTATATGGGTTGAGCTGCTGACTAGAAATATTGCAAACCCTTTGTGTGGTAAATTTACTGTAGAGTTTTCCAAGGAATTGTCTCATCTTAGCATCACGGAGTGCCCTGGAAGTGCAATGTATCCACAGATGTGACTAAGTATGGGTGATATTGATCTCTCTGATGGTGAGGTCTGTTAGATCTGGTTGGTCTTACAGTTCTGGCAGGTACGAAGTTCTTTTTAAACTGTGGGAACACAAAGGAAACATTAAATTTAATGTAATAGCAGTGGTTTTTACATGCTTATGAGAGCAGTTCTGCTTCATACTTACTTTTTTGCATCCCAAAAGCATGACAATGAAGAATAACAGTACAACAGTGAACACCATCACACTGAAGAAAATCAAGATGGGGCCAAAAATGTGGTCCCCGCATTGTTCCTGGGGATCCTTCTCTGTGAGGAAAAACATCAGAAAGGGCAAAAGGTTATTGCTATTGTTGATATCAGTGAACAGTGTCTGTGTTTCAGTTCAGATGACTGTTCTCTTCACCTTTGACAATGATAATGGTGGCATTGGTGAGCAGGGTTGCCATCTGTGACTGGTAGTTACTCCACTCACAGTAATACAAGTCTGTGTCATCCACCTCCAGCAGAGATAGTTGGAAGGTGAACCTATGGCCCTCTTTGACCTGCTGGTCTGGATTTATGTGGATTCGGCCTGCAAATTCTGCAGCTGTAGTATTCTTTGTAACTAGTCCATCTTTCAAGGAGAGGAACACAGTATCCCTTTGGCCATGGAAATTCCTGTGCAGGTATAGGCCCATCTGGTCAGGCAGTGAAGTGGAGCATACGATCTCAGCAGATGAGTTGACTGTCTTATATGAGACGGACAATGGATTTTGTTGAACTGCAGGGAGAGATACATTGCTACTATATTTCAGTGGGACATGACACATTGCATATGCAGGTATAGTTATCTGACAGCTGGGGTCCATTGTCACACTTCAAAAAAGTTATATATTATGTTTCTTCTTCTTTTCTGCTCCATTAGCAACCAACAACCCCCTCAGATTTATACTGTGATTTCACTGAAGGGAGCCCAACCCCTAGACTGAGAACTACTGGACCAACTATTGTCCCTAATTGCATATAAAGTAGTTAAACTAGCTTCTCCTTGATGAGCTAGAACAGTAAAATGCTAATATTATCCACCATATTTAGCTGCAGAGCAAACACTGTAACCTTTAATGGTTTAAGTACATTTTGATTAAAATGGCTTTTAATTCATGAATGAAGGACTTTTATACTTGCAGTTATTGGCACTTTTACCTAAGTAAAAGTAAACTACTTAAGTAAAGAATCAAAGTAGTTTTTCCACTACCGCCTTTAAAGACACTGCTCAGAAGACAAAAACAGGATGAGGCTGCAAACAAACAGGAAAAGATAGCTGAGACTCATCCTTGAAGACTAATTATTTTTTCCAAAATGACTTAATACCAAAACATATCAATTTTCTCTCCCTCTTTCTCACACAGACTCACCTGTCTGGATGTTGAGAATGACCTCAGCAGGCATGCAGAGTAAGCCCAGCACACAGGTCCACCAGTGGGCTTTCATCCTGCCAGCTGGGCTGCAAGAGCGGCTACTACAGACTCAGCTGAAGACACAGCGGCAGGATGACTGACTGACAGGGTGACTGTCACATGAAGTGTGGTGTACAGAGGAAATGAGACTTGTTACTGTTTATCAGCTGTATGTGGGTGTGGATACATCACTGCATTCAAAGATGTGGAGGCATATGTTACTGACAAACTTTATTTGAAGTTCCATCACACATACTGTAAAGTAACCGTTTCATGCGGTTAACCAGCATCATCATTGGCACAAGTTGATCACATTTACTTTTGAGTCCTACTTTGTTTGTTTTACTGTATAATCAACTGGGTAGCACAAAAAACCTTGTATTAATTCACATAAAAAAAATATAAATGCAACATACATATAGAT